AGATGTACTAGTGTAGGTCAACAGAAATGATGTCCTGAGGGGTAAACAATCAAGTGTCAGATAAAAGTGCACATATTTATTTATTTATTTCTATTGTACTTTAGGTTCTGGGGTGTATACGGACATGATGCAGGATTGTTGCACAGGTACATACACGGCAATGTGGTTTGCTGCCTCCATCCCCCCATCACCTCTGTCTGGCATTTCTCCTCATGTTATCCCTCCCCAACCTCCTCACCCTCCACTGTCCCTCCCCGAGCCCCACCACAGACCCCAGTGTGTGATGCTCCCCTTCCTGTGTCCATGTGTTCTCATTGTTCACAGGCCTATGAGTGAGAACATGCGGTGTTTGATTTTCTGTTCTTGTGTCAGTTTGCTGAGAATAATGGTTTCCAGATTCATCTATGTACCTACAAAGGACACAAACTCATCGTTTTTTATGTCTGCATAGCATTCCATAGTATATATGTGCACATTTTCCATGTCCAATTTATTATCGATGGGCATTTGGGTTGGTTCCAGGTCTTTGCTGTTGTAAACAGTGCTGCAATGAACACATGTGTGCATATGTCTTTATAATAGAACAGTTTACATATTTTTTTTTTTGAGACAGAGTTTTGCTCTTGTTTACCCAGGCTGGAGTGCAATGGCGCGATCTCGGCTCACCGCAACCTCTGCCTCCTGGGTTCAGGCAATTCTCCTGCCTCAGCCTCCTGAGTAGCTGGGATTATAGGCACGCGTCACCATGCCCAGCTAAGTTTTTGTATTTTTAGTAGAAACGGGGTTTCACCATGTTGACCAAAATGGTCTCAATCTCTTGACTTCGTGATCCACCCGCCTCGGCCTCCCAAAGTGCTGGGATTACAGGCGTGAGCCACCACGCCAGGCTCAGTTTACATATTTCTATAAAATATAACATAATCAATATAACTTCTTTTGCATACAGTTCAAAAGACATATATAGTATAGAGTACTATTTACACTTTTATGAAAAAACTTCAAATATTATTAAGTTAAAAAAATTTCAGCAGTAGGACTGGGCAGCTTGGTGCTGTCCAGGCCTGTTGTTGGAATAGATGGCGAAGGTATTTGCAAATTCCATACAATAAGTAGGGCAAAGGTTGTATCCAGGAACCTAGGCTGATGCCAGGATTATAATTATAGTAGGGTTATGGGTCCTAGAAATCAGGAATATGAGGAGCAAGGGATAGGGACCCCCAGTGGAAGGGTCTGGGCAACAGTGAACCAGTAACAAGGTGTCCATCTGCAGGTCTGCAATCTATGCAACAAGCATGGGTCAACAACGGCAAGGAAAACGTTAGTACTTAGCTTCTCAGTGATTGGAATCCTTAAATATTGTCCTTCACTTTCCCAAGCGCTCTCAGAAGATGGTCAAGCTGCTACACAGTTGCAGCAAGTGATACACCTGACAGGAGTGGGGGAAATGAGAATGCTGGGCATGGAAAAATGAGGCCTGATTCACTATCTAGTCTGGTCCAGGAGTTGTGCCTGACTGAAGGCAAATAACCTTGACCAAACCAGGATCTTATAATTGGAAGCCTAAAAGAATTTACAGATTACTTCATTGCCAGTGAAACCTAAGACATCATTTAAATGTAAAAAGGTGTTAATTTGCTTCTAGAGCTTGGCTCTGGCTCTAGAACACTCATAGGACAGTGAATTATAACTCTGCACGTTATAAGTAGGATTCCTGGGCCCTACTTCAGATCATGTAAACTCTCTGGGAAGATGGATGGGGCCTAGACACTCATACATTTAAAAAATCTTCAGGGATTTTACTGTTCTTTAATATTTAAACTTAATTTTTAAATGACTGAAGTAATATGCATTTTTCGTTGTAAATAAATTATTAGTCCTACTCTCCTTTTATACAGATTTATAACATATATACAAGGTATAAAGAATATAAAATAAATAGCTACTTACCTACGACCTTTTCCAATTTGATTGAAGGATAAGCTATATATAAATATGGAAAAGTACAGAAATCACAAATGTATAGTCAATGTGTTAACTCAAAATAAACATACTTCTGTAAATCCCATCGAAATGAAGAAACAGAACATTCTCACAATCCTGTCTCTGCTCATCTTGTTTCTCCATCACCATCCTTGCCCCTCCATAAAGATATGAAAAGGTCTCTGGGTAATTCTAGTGGGCCCTATCATTGTCTTACTGTCTACTTTTTCACTTAATTTCCCTCGTTTTTTTAAGAAGAGAAAATACTTTAGACATGAGGATTATTAATCTCTCTGATCTAATAATATTAATAATAATGAATGCTTTGAGTTCTATATGAGCACTCACAGATTATATTTTAAGTTATACATGAATGTTATATTGTGGAATCAAATTTTCAAACTAACACTTGTTCAAGAAATTTTGCTTTATTTATCTAAAACAAAATTAAACTTCTCTGTATTCCATGCTACCTGATGGCAGAAAATATCTTTCCTTTCAGTTTCAATAGAGACCATAAGCAATTGATGGGAATTGCTTCCACATTCCAAAATGAGATATGGATCTGCTGTTCTAAGGGAGGTGAGTTGCTGCATTGGGAAGTCTGTGGTTGGTGGAGCAAATGGTGGTGACCACGTCCATTGGATCACTGGTGTACCCAGAGGCCCACGTGAGAAAACCAGCCTGTGGGTCTGCCTAAATGCTACCTAAGAGAACACCCTGGAGAGATGAGGTGATCTCAACAGAACAGGGGGCTACCAAGTTTGTTTCAAGGGACTGAGGGACTATCAACAGCCAGCCAGAGAGATGCTTTGATAGTGGTGTCTTTGAAGTGACTGTAAGATGCTGATTGCAGAGTCAGCTTTACACACCTGCCAAACCTGGAGAGCTAATAAGCCAGTTCACAGCAATATCAATGGAGTAGGAAGGCCATTTCTGCCATTATTGCTGCTCTTTTCCCACTACCTTGAAACAGCCAGAGCCAAGCTCAAAGTGAGGTGAGTGGTTAAGGAATAAGAGCTCTAGGTAGGAACAAAAAATAATCTCAGATGCATCTCCTCTATCTCTTTTCAGTAGATTTTGGTTATACTTTTTGAGGGACTGCTATCTTCTGAAGAAATTCTGAAAATGTAAAAGAAATTTAAAAAGTTGACTACGATACAGAATCAAACATGTTAATTAGTTTATATATATATATCACATGTCTGTATGTCTATGGCTAACAGCTGGAGAACTTTTTAAAAAATTTAAGTGTGACTAGAAAAGTTATGGGGCCTGCCTGAGTTTCCATTTAAAAATGTGGAAAAGAGGCATCAGGCCACAAGACAGGTTTAGGTGGGCAGTGGGGGGAATCACTAACATTGTTTTCTGATTATGTCTGACAAGCCCTGCTTGTCCACTGTATTGGTTATATCAGTATCTTGGCTGCAAATAATTCAGTGTGCTTATCCTCAATTCTACCACGAGAGCTTTGTTGTGGTACAACGGTGACTATCTGCAGAGGGGCCTCCAAGCAGCTTTATGAGGCATCGTGGGGGATAAAAACAAACACATTGCTGAATATTTCAAACGATCATTCCAAGGCCGCTGTCTCATTTAATCATCACAAGAAACCGATGGAGTAAGTGCTGTTATTTTCCTTCTCTTACATAGGAGGGAAACTGAGGCTTAGAGGTAAGATTACTTGCCACAGGGGGACCACACGTAAGAGGTAAATGAGGAGAACCTCAAGTCAGGCTTTCTCCCTTTGCAGCCCATTCCCTGAATATCACAGTTCAGGGAAGATACTGTAGCCTCCACTAATCCCTATTGTGGCTATAGCAGGGAACAGTGTATTGTTCTTTTTCTAGGAGACATTTTCAGAGTGGGGGCGGGAAGGTAGGTCAACCAAATTGACAAACTCACGCAACTCTACCTACTCCTAGGCATTTCTCCATGAAAAAAATAGCTCTAAAAACAGCTAGAGGAGACTTCTGCTTATTGTAACTGGCCTCCGCCAAAGGCTCACTTTCAATTTTTTTAGAGCCAGGTCAGTTCTTCCTGTGACTGTGAAAATAATAAGATGGTTATAAAATACAGCTTTGGTATAGTTTCCTTGCAAGCAGCTTACATTTCCTATCTAGAAAATAATTCTGTGTGTGTGGAAATGTGTGCTCTAAGAGTTTTTGAGCACAGATAAAATTGCTTTGATGCCTGAATTCTCACGAAGTTTGGCCAAAATATGCAGGTACTTTAGGCTACTGTCAATATTGGGATTGCTTCTTCTTGTTCCTCCATGTGGCAGTACTTTTAAAGAGGAAAAAAGGACTGAGTTTGGAGTGCTGAAATAACAGCCATATTATAATTTTTGTCAAGTTACCACTTGGAATTTTATTCTCTCCCTCCATATATATTCCAACTCCTTGCTCTTTTTTGCATTGTAAAACAAAATATTTTTAGGATTATATACCATATGCTAATCTTTTACCCATTCTCCAGTATCACAACCTTCTTTCTCTGTGGGGAGGAAAAATCCCAGTCCCCTTTCTGTCTTCTTGCTTTTTGATTCGATTTACCATAGTCTAATTGAGACCCCCAAGGTCGTCAGCCCCTGCCTTTGTTGCTAGGACATGCAAACCACCCAGGCCAATCCCTAACCTGTTTTTTGAAGAAGCCTCCAATCAGAGAGAATCCACGACTTCTTTTTGTGAACTGTGGCACCGTGCAACTGCACACTATAAATGTCTTTCCTTATCTATGTGCACTGTTATCTCACTGTTCTATTTTTTCCCCTCATTTATATTAACTCTTTCATACCTTTTTTTTTTTCCTCTAAACTTCTAGGCCTTCTCTTCCCAGAACTGGTGGAAGACAAATGTTACTCTGTAAACGGCCAAGATGGTAAGGTGAGTAGTTCCTGGGATCGCTTGTGCTCTAACCCCAAGTTATGTGGGATACTCTAGGGGTTATGGCATTCCTCATTTTACAAGTTACTTACTTGGCGGCGGCTGCTCCACCAAGCTATGCAAACACTCCCGATCTTTTGAAAGTCATGAGACTGACATTTCTGAGTCTGTTTGCAAACAGGACACTAGAGGGCCCCCAGGGGTTAAGAATAAGGGGAAAGTTATTTGAATGAAAACTGATTCTCTACGGCATTTCTTTTTTCAGAATTTAAAACTAAAGTTTATTTTGTTAACTATTGTTTTCAAAAGCCTTATACCTCTTAAAACCATGCAGCGATGTGTTTACAAGTTTTGCTTTGCAATCAGCAGTTTTCAAGGGAGCTTTTAAAGCTGAAGTGAAGTGTTTGAAATGTGGAACACTCTTGACCATGAAATATGTTCTACTTACATGCCTCAGCCTTTAAAAGTTCTTTGCATTAGAGTCAGGGATTACATTCTTCTTGGAGCCAAGCATGGGGCCAGCTGTGTAAGTAAGGTTGCTTATGAGTTTCTTCTTTTTCTTTTTAATAGTGAAAAAACAGAACTAGAGATGCTTTTATTTTCTTTCAGCTGACTTCGGTGGAAAGAAAAGAAATAAAAAGCAGTCAGATTTGTGTTGTGTGGGGTGGGTTGTGTGGGGTGTGTGTGTAATGTGTGTGTGTGTGTGTTACACCCCGATAGAATAAATGTAACTGCTTCCAAGATATATGGCCATTTATGGCTTCGTATTATGCTAATAATGTAAGCTAATGGAACGTATTAATAAAGAAAAAATTGTACCATTAGATTAAGAGAATATGTTTCTAAATTTTATTGTTAATACTAGGTGCTTGTACTTAGTTAATTCAGGACTTTAAAAATAAATATAGTATAGTTATAGGGTTTTAAAAGTCATCTATTACTTGTCTTAAGTTATTTCTGAATTTCAAAGGAAAAGCCTAGGTTTGTCACATTTTAAAGCTTTTGCTTCAGAATCAGCTTAAAGACTCTAGGTACAAGTTATAAAATATTCTTGGATTTTTGTAGCTTGTTTTCACTACTTTAAAGTGACTATCAAATCTATACATCTATCTTGTTTCTATGTTTTTAAATTTTAATTTTGAAAACATTTAGTGGTGATATTTATGAAAGGAAATGATTACTTTTTTTCTGTACTTTTGTAGAGGAACTGAAATGCTTGAGATTGTGACTCAGTTAACTCTGTATCCATTCATTCCCAGAAGCAAGCTACATTTCTCCTTGGGGAGGCTGATAGTTTAAAAGGTTTGTTGTGTCAGAAACATTCTCAGCTTCATCATCAATCCTTTCCTTCCACTTCTACCCACTGGAGACCACTTAGATCCCGAAGCGGACGCGACAGCTGAAGTCAGGAAACCATGCATCACAATAGCAGGAGCCAACTGCAGACTTTAAACTCCGTTCAACATGTTGATGCAGCAGAGAAATGACCCGTCCAGACAAGCCAGGGCAGCTCATAAACTGGTTCATCTGCTCCCTGTGCCTCCCGCGGGTGCGTAAACTCTGGAGCAGCCGGCGTCCAAGGACCCGGAGAAACCTTCTGCTGGGCACTGCCTGCGCCATCTACCTGGGCTTCCTGGTGAGCCAGGTGGGGAGGGCCTCTCTCCAGCACGGACAGGCGGCCGAGAAGGGGCCACATCGCAGTCGCCACACCACCGAGGCACCCTTCCCTGAGATACCTCTGGATGGTACCCTGGCCCCTCCTGAGTTTCAGGGTAATGGGACCACCCTGCAGCCCAATGTGGTGTACATTACCCTACGCTCCAAGCGCAGCAAGCCTGCCAATATTCGCGGCACCGTGAAGCCCAAGCGCAGGAAAAAGCACGCAGTGGCATCGGCTGCCCCAGGGCTGGAGGCTTTGGTCGGACCATCCCTTCAGGCGCAGGAAGCTGATGCTGGAGCACCTGGGTATGCTCAGGGAGGAAACCTGGCCAAGATTGGAGAGCGACCCTGGAGGTTGGTGCGGGGTCCAGGAGTGCGAGCGGGGGGTCCAGACTTCCTGCAGCCCAAGGCCAGGGAGAGCAACATTAGGATCTACAGCGAGAGTGCCCCCTCCTGGCTGAGCAAAGATGACATCCAAAGAATGCGACTCTTGGCGGACAGCGCAGTGGCAGGGCTCCGGCCGGTGTCCTCTAAGAGCGGTGCCCGCTTGCTGGTGCTGGAGGGGGGTGCACCTGGTGCTGTGCCCCGCTGCGGCCCTAGCCCCTGTGGGCTTCTCAAGCAGCCCTTGGACATGAGTGAGGTGTTTGCCTTCCACCTAGACAGGATCCTGGGACTCAACAGAACCCTGCCGTCTGTGAGCAGGAAAGCAGAGTTCATCCAAGGTAACAGATTCACGTGCTTCGTTATTTGCAGCTGTTGGGGATTCGGGTTCATTTTCTCTTTTCCCTCAATCTCTTTTTCTAAATGATTTTTCTCCACCCACGGTTCACATTTGGACAGCAGCAGCAGCAGCCTTTCTTTCCATGCGCTTGGCATTCTGTATTTTCCCAGCCTGGGAGGATATGAGAGTTCCAGGGAAATGCTGTATTGGACATGCAAGAGTAAGCCCATACTGTATAATCTTTGCTCTCCATTTCCCCTGCTGCACTTCCCAGTGGCTTATTAAATCCAATTAAAGCCAATGGCAGTTTACATGATGAGGAGAGGAAGCTAGGCTGGAGGCAAAGAACTTGCTGTCAGGCATACTATTAAATAGGTTACTATGGGAGGAAGTAGGAGTTTTTAAAAGTAAGGGGGAAGCATGTTATTTTTCTGGAGCAGATGGGATCTTCTTAAGAGGCACAGAGCCAGACCATGTTAGGTTCAACCCCTTGCTTTTTGTTTTTCCAATGGATTTAACCCCTTTATTTAAAAAATAAAAAGAATGAGGCAAAAATAGGTGATTTGTTCAGTATGTATACTAACTAGCTGTGTGGTTTTATCAAGTCCATCGTGATGGTCCATTGAGCCTTTCTTTCAAGAGTCTTTCTTCTTGGGTGACAGACATTTTGGCAGGTTCTAACACATGTAGCCAGTTACTGCAATTGCCAGCAAACAGGTTGGTCTGTGGTCATGCCCACGCCCTATAAAGGATATTCTCTGAATATTAAAGCTATTCCAGGGTTTGAATACAAAGTACAGTGAATCAGTGGCTTGTGTTTGAATGCAGAATGATGCCAGAACTTACAACTTTGAATCTAGACTGGCCCAAGTGGCTAAAACGTACCCCTAAGAGATTATAAGCTCAAAGGATACTTACTTTCTCCATGTTACCATGAAATTTAGCATTTCAGTGAGGTTCCCAAGGAGCCTAGAATTGAATGGATTAAAACCTCTGGGAGTGGCTGAGACCCAAACTGCATTTCTAATGGCTTTAGCATTGTAATTTCATTTTAGAATGGATACTTCTTGAAGTACCAGTGATTTACTTAGAAAAATCGGACATTCCTTACAGATAGTGATTCTTGTCTAGGTGCTCCAGATTCACAGGTATGCTTTGATGTTTCAAGTTTACAAAGCAGTCCACCACAATTATGCCAATGTAAGAAACCCTCTCAAACATTTAGTCTAATGTTGATAAAAATGAATTTTTATTCGGTGCCCACAAATTGCTAAGGATTATACAAATTGATTCATGTGTGTTGGCTCCTAGAGTTCTCATAACAATGCTATGAGGTAGGGACTATTATTATTTCCATTAAGTAGATGAGAAAATTGAGGCTTATTGAGGCAAAGTAATTGTCCTCAACTCTACACCTAGCAAGTGGCAAAGCTGGGTTTTGACCGTAGGCCCAGCAAACTTCAGAACATAACTTCTTAGCCACTGGACTTATATGAATATGTAACTTATTATCCAAACTGGAGCTCTGTGGGTGAAAGGAGATGCTGGTGGGCATCGGGACAACGGGCACACAGCAGCTGTTCTGGGCAGAGTAGGGCACAGGATCCCCTTGTTATGCTGTATTGCCATTTATTTTCATGTCATAAAGGCCCAGAGAAGAGAAGATGAACTCCTGGGTACATCCTGAGGCAGGGCTCTCTGATAGTCTTTTGAGCTTCCTTTAGATGCTCTTTGATGGAAGTTTGGAGAATACAGTAGCAGCTAAGAGCCCGGGCCCTCAAGTTGGACTAACTAGGTTTGACCTTACCAACCATATGCCTTGGAAATATTACCATTTTTCTTTATGCCTCAGTTTCCTCAGCTGTAAAATGACAATAATGCCTACCACATGAGACTGTTGTTAGTTAATACATGGAAAACACTTAGAACCAGTGTTTGGCACAAGATAAACCTTCAATAAATATTGGTTATTATTATTATTATACCAAGTACATGAGGTACCAAGTTCATTGAATTCCTCACATAACCTCCAAGTCTCATATATTATTTCCTTATGTGCTAGGACTATGACTAAAACTGCTCAATTAAACTTTTGTAATCACAATTTCTCTTAGATATTTAATTCTTTGCTCTGAATTTCCAGCATCTTTGAGAATAAAAATTCAATTTGAAGGAGGGGTTTATAATCTCAATAAAGCCTGGACAGTTCTCTCTCCGTTCATATGGGAGTGGTAATGGAAAGAAACGAATAATAGGATATACTAATATGACTCAATTTAATGAATTAAATCCCCAAGATTACATCCCAAACAACATAGTCTCTTTGATACCTTCGTCTACTTAGTCATTTAGAGTCACAAAGTCAGGACAGTGTCTTCAGGAACTCATGAAATCATTTCCATGTAGTTACACATACTCTACACAATATAATTCTACTCAAGCAGACTGTTACAGTGATGCAAAGTACATAAATAGAACACTTCCGGTCATGGTATAGACAATGTTAGGTTCTCAGTATCTCTACCCACCCTCCCATTTCTAGTCTTTTCCTCTCTATGTCTGTCTTCCCTGATTTCCACAGAAGTGTGTAGCTTTCTTCTTGGCCCCTTTTATTCTGTTGGTCAAAGCTTGGCCTTATTTGAGCCTCTTGGCCCACCGAGGGAGGCAACAGATTTATCTAGCTACCCAGCATCTTTTTTCAGCTTGCTCTGTATCATTACATTATATAATACATATTTGCATTATAATCATTTATTTAATCATCTGTTCCTCCTTACTACTCTCTGGGTCTGTGAACGCAAAGACACTTCCTGTTTTCTTTAGAATTGCATTTCTGGATCCTAGTAAAGAGTCTGGCCCATAGTAGATACCCAATAGATATTTTGAAGGAATGCAGGAATGCATCTGTTGCTAGTTCCTTGGATTCTAAACATAAATCTATACTGGAAACCACCAGCTTCTAATATTTAGGACACATAATAACATTTTTAGTCTTTAGTCCAGGCTGGGCTTTCTCCTGGAGGATCTCTTAAAGAATTCGTTGCGGAGGTAATGAAAAATGTTTTTGGTAGCCTCCTTACAATGCAAATAAAAGGTTTAGAGGGCTTGTTCTTGTGAGGACCATCAATATAGTATGTCGGCCTCACACTCTAGGGTAATTTGTTAATGAGTTTTCTGCAGGAGGAATAATAGATTTAATTTAGGTATATATTTCTCTGATGATCTGGCTTGGTCTAGGAGTAGATCTTTTAATATTTGAGAGAGTGAGGAGCCAGCAAAGACTGTAAGTAATCTGCCCTAAATGTTGTTTCTGTTCTGACCTTTGATTAATTTTTTTTTTTTTTGAGACAGAGTTTCTCTCTTGTTACCCAGGCTGGAGTGCAATGATGCGATCTCGGCTCACCATAACCTCCGCCTCCTGGGTTCAAGCAATTCTCCCGCCTCAGCCTCCTGAGTAGTTGGGATTACAGGCACACACTACCGTGCCCAGCTAATTTTTTGTATTTTTAGTAGAGACGGGGTTTCACCATGTTGACCAGGATGGTCTCGATCTCTTGACCTCGTGATCCACCCGCCTCAGCCTCCCAAAGTGCTGGGATTACAGCTTTGAGCCTCCGCGCCCGGCCTGATTAATGTTTACAAAAAGAAATTTGTAACTGGCACTAAGAAAGTAGTTAGTCTCTATTGCAAGTTGAATTTAGATATCTGAGTTGTCTTTGCTATTTTTTTAAAGAATTTTATGCAGAAGACTTTTTTTAACCTCAATTTAAAGATGAAAGAAAGGCAAGAAGATTGCTCAAGGTCATGTAATGAGTTAGTTATCCAGCAGAAATTTTTGTCTTCTAACTTCCAAGTCGTTTCTCTTTTCATAAATCTGCTTCCCTCAACAAATCCTTTAAGGGGCCCTAAGGTGCATCTTCTTTATCACCACATCCTCCTAGGAAATTTAGTTATTTAGTATAATGAAATAGATGACTTACACACTAATGCACAGAGTTATTTTTTTCTCACAAGGAGACAAAGCAACATTAACCATAGCTAAGAGTTATTGAATTTTCCTGGATCTATATCTATATCTATATCTAATCTATCTATATCATCTATATCTATATCTATATCTATATCTATATCTATATCTATATCTATCTATATGTATATATATCAGGCTCTGTTCTAAGTACTGTGCTTGCATTATTTCATTAAATCCTCATACAAATTCATATAGACCCTGGGGACTCTGTGAAAAACATTTAACAGTAGGGAAATTGAGGCCCAAAGTAATTATAAAATGGATATATGACATGCAAAGGGAGACGTAAAAAGGAATCAAATGCTGTGATTCGAGTGATCTGCTTGCCCCAGCCTTTCCGATAAAGCTCTCCGTTGATTCAGTCAAAAGACAAAGAGTTCCAATTATAAAGCTTATCTTTAGGATTTTTCTAAATTGGTAAAACTGGTGTGGGTGATCCAATCAGCTAGCTCAGTTTAGTCTGGGACAAGATCTTGATTGTGTGATCGATGGGTTCTAGATGATTCTTCTTGAATACAAAAAGATGTATGAAATTAGTGGACTTACTGGTATTGTACTTTTTAACAGACTATTTTCTGACAGGTTATGCTCCAAGATTTGCTAGAAAGTAAGAAGAGTGCACTTGAGGAAGGGCAAGGAAGTAATTAAGCAGGCAGAGCCAGCAGTGTGCTACAGTATAAGATCCATCAGTTCTTACTGGAGCAGATTTTCATCCTACATGTATTTGTGTAGGAAGTCTTAAAATGAATGAAAATACAGCATCAAAGGGCCTTAAAATATTCGTGTGTAATAATGAAATATTTTTCAATTGTGTTGAAGAATCTAGTGCTATGCATCAGATGGCACTTATACTGTATTTGATGTGTGCTGTCTATTATACCACCTAACAATTTTACACTGCAAATAATACTCTTATTTTAAATAGAGGATTCCTGAGACTCAGTGAGCTTATAAAATTTGTCCGAAGTCAC